ATTCATAACAAATTCATACATCAGTAAACTTGAAAATATCCATCAAAAGTTTTTGCATGTCAATTCTATTCCTACTTCACATAGATCTGATTGAGCAGAAACTCAGAGCACCTTGACCATAGAAGAACATTCAGTGCTGGTGAATGGGTCACTCATACTTCCTGTGCCCTCTCAGGCTTAGAGGGGAGAAAAGTCAACCTCTCGTCCTTAAGTCCCACCCCATCACCTCATCCGAGGGCCATCACCAATGATTACAGTCCAGCGTGGGGAGATTACAGCCTATTAGCACAAAGGCGGATGACCAGAAGTAACCTCACTACTGCGCTTCATGTATACATTATTCATCTAAAAAGAAAACACTATTTTAAATACAATTCAACCCAGATTTAAATTTTTACTTGTATCCTTGTATTGCACCAATCATTTTGCTCTATCCTTTTTTTTAAACGCTCAGTACCTGCTCCTCAGCATTGTATCTTGCTGATATATAGAAGTCAGCGTGTTCCAGTCTTCCTCTCTCAAGGTGGAACGCATAGACACTGTAACACCCTGACACAGGACCATGCTCACTAAAAAAAACAACAATAAAAAAAACACATTGTCTGCTTTTAGGATCCACCACAGCTGGCGTCTGCAGACATCAATCATAAAATTCGATTAGAAAAACCAAAAAGCAACAGAAAATTAGATAATGATCCTCAGCAGGAGGCATTGCTAAATAAAGATGGAAGCCAAGTAATAAAAGGAGGACAAGCAAAGAGGACCTCTGGAAACTGCAGTAAAATAAAGAGGCTGTGGGCTAAGGCAGCAGCACTTACAGAGGTGTCCAGGAGCCGGTCAGGTGCCTGTGTAGTTGTGTGTATATATGTGCAAGTGTGTAAAGGTGTGTGGTGTCTCGAGGGGCATTAGGCCAATTCGCATCCAGCTCTGCAAACTGGTAATTACCTACCAATTGGCACAAGCTCGATTAAGCTGAGGCAAGCAAGAAGAGAGCAGAGAAGGATCGCCTCAGATCAGCTTGGGCCTTGCTGGCTTCCGTATCACACCACTCTGAGCTCAACAGACGCTGCGCTCTCTTGGCGCACCCCTCCCTTCTGTCTCCCTCCCCTCTCCACTCTCTCCATCTCTGACACTGAATACACAGGCTCACCTTCTCTTTCAATGCGCTGCAAATTATACAGAGCCATAGGCTAGGTAGCATACAGTGACAACGAACAGGCGTGCTTGTGCAGGCACAACCATGCAAATGAAACCCTTTCTAAACTATAGCCTCCACGTTTAAACAAGCTGTAGAGTCTCATATCAATTGGGGCGTTGCTCTTGTTGATTAGACTATCAAATCAGAACAAAACACACCTTAGGAATCTTAAGCCTGGGAGTTCCGATTCAACGTCAACATATATCTACTGATTAGTGTGATTTTCAACAGAAACAGTTTAATCTTAGTTTTAGCAGTTGTTGAAACAAATTTTAGAGCAATAAGCGAGCAACAACAAGCAAAGTGAGGGGAAAATGTTGGTAGTCAACATTTTCCCTTTTTTATTACTTATTGCTTTATGTTTCCCAGGAGTAGCTTTGGACTAGCTGGTACAATGTTCACCATGGGAGAATGGCAGACCTGCTTCAGCACTTTAGGCTGAGAGGTTGCCTATCATCCCACACAAGGAGAGAGACTGGGAACAGAATGCTGAAACAGCATTAAGGCTCTCAGACGTAGAGCTGCCATATGGCCTGAGAGCATCCTGCCTGACCACAGTAATTGATGACTACCGATAACAGGTTTCAGAGGTAAAGTTTTCCAGGTCCAGAGATGTAAATGTAAAGGAATTTGCTTGGGATTATTCTTTTTAAACAGTTAGGAGAAGTGAACTGAAAATTATATCCCTTTTGTTTCATTAGGAATGCTTTGCCAGGGAGCTATCAAAGTATTTCTTCCATAAAAACCCCACAAGCCTCCTAAGAGGAGTCACAAAGTTTCAAACGCCGATTTTAACAAGAACGTATTGCTTCCTGCCTATTGGGTGTGGGGAAGCTACCTTTACTGCTTTAATTAAATATTAACAAGCAAAGGACTTGAATTACATGCCGCACAGGGCTACCCTGGATAAGGATTACATTAAATTATTTAAAATGATGCGCTGCAGGGTGTCAGGCAGGTGGGAAGCTGTCATAGGAGCCTATCCCTAAGGCCCCTACCCTACCAATTCTATGGGACAAAACAGCAAAACAGTGTTTTTTCAGTGTATGGAGAACTGAGCTTGGGGATAAATCCAACTGGATGTCAAGATTTTAGCAAGAGTAGTCCTGCATTATGCACCTATGTAGGGATTTAATGGACTGCCTACTTCAACAATATTACTTCCTGTCAAGAAACATGACGCTAAAAGTTAAGATTATTTGGAATCTAAAGTTGGAAAATGAAACATTTTAAATTTAATCTTACAGTAAAAACATCTACAGATTGACTTGATTTTGGTGCAGTAATACTATCTGACTGGGACGCCATTACTTTGGCTCCAGATGGCAAATACTTGTTTTCCTGGGGGTCATATTCTTATTGGTTTCCCTCTGGGAGTTTGAGCTTACTGCAAATAATAAAGTTATAGTATAAGGGCAGAGTTTTTAATGAAAGGTTGAAATGTAGGTACTTTAATATTGACCATCCCCTCCTTCTGGAAATGTTGGTGTTACAAAGCAGAAAAACAGGCAAGAAGAAAAGAAGAATCAAAAGACTTCTTTATAATGCCTTTTGTATAAATACACTTCTCCTTAGGAGCAACATGGAGCTTCAGCAGCATCAGGACCTTACTTTATTCATGGAGGATAGAAGGATTTGGGAGGGTTAAGAGCTTGATGAAGCTTTGAAGGCATATAGGCTGCATCAGGAATTTGTTTTGGTAAAAAAGTAATTTCTTGTTCCATTAACGATTCTGGGGGAGACTGTCTCTCCAACTCACAATGGGTAACCTTGCATATAAACAATGCATGGCGGAAATAAAGGCTTCTTAAATGTCCCTGATACCAACTCCTTTTGCAGCTAGAAGGTGAAACTCTTCAGATCCTATTTATGCAACATTTTAAGCACTGATACAGCTATAGCATTGAAAGCTGTTTTTTTTTTTACCCAAATCTTTAGATTTGGCAGCTCTGCTGCTAAAAAAGGAAATGAATACAAAGATGGAAAGTGTTTTGTCAGGGTTATTATGCAATTGCTGATTGACTTATTTCCTTATTATGTTTAGTCCCATTTGACTATATATGAAAGTTAAAGAGAGTTTTTTTCAGGTCAATTTCAGTTCTGATATTAGATACAGAAAACAAATCAAATTAAACACAAAAAAAATTCTGACTCATTGCAAAGGCCATGGACTCGATGTATACACTCTATTTTATAAGATAAGGATATAAATGTAGTAATCAGGCAAGGTTTTCAATAATTCACTAAACAAAGAAAGAAAGATTCTAAATAAAAGTAAGCAAATATTGTCAAATCTTCATTTGTGGTAAATTCCATTTGCTTTCCTACATGAAAGCTATATGTTGCATCTTTGATATAGAACTTTGTCAAATAACTGATTAACCTCCTCAGCATGTTTTATACAACTCAGGTAACGAGCCAATTATTGAAATCAGGTGTGCTCAAACTTTTAAAATATGTAGGATTTGGTGATCCCTGCCCCAAACAGATAGTCTTGCTGCATGCAGTGCAAGTAAAAACCTAAATAGGTCTTTCATAGGTTTGATGTTTTTCATTTTATATTCTCCAGTTTTGTCCTGTCACTTGAGGATAATGTCCCCTTGTCTTTAAGCCTTTGTGACCCCCTTGATTGAAGCTTATCTAAACATAAACTGATCCACTGCAGTAAAGTAAAAGAAATGATGTAGAAAAGAAAGGTATTTTAGATTTTGGGAGTCTTTCCTGAGCCTCAATGCACCTCATAGTAATGCTTGGGTTGCCTCCAAATTGTGGTGGGAATAGGTGTGTCGGTTTATCAGCAGAAGCTCGCTATGCTCTCCAGTTTTTGCCGGTAGGCCGCAGGAGTTCAGCACCCCATCGCTCCTGGACAGCTCCGTCCAATCAGCTGCGCTCTTCTGCAGCGCGTCACCCTCCCTCATCCTCCTCATCTATCCCCCTCCCTCTCTCCATCATCGGAGCATGCATGGCGGAGGACATTTCAGACAAAATGCTGACTTTCAACCAGCGGTTTATTTGTAAAAAAAAATAAAAATAAAAAAAAAGGCGCACTGACAACCATTACCGTAAACAGAGGAAGTTGTGGTGGATCCGCTTTTAACGCTTCCTCGTTTCGGTGCAAGCACACTGCGGCAAATCGGTCTCAAAAAGACACGAGATGTGAGCTATACATGGAGGGGAGGCTTGAAAATGACGTGTGTCCGGTTTCCACGCACAATGTCACAGGATATTAAAGCAGCTGGCAGGCCATTAAATGACACGTTTATCACATTTCGCTCATAAAAGGAGCGATAATTTAATATTTCTGGGTTTAACTGGTGTGGTCTGATCAAATTAAACAAGGATGTCCGCGTTTACTTGTAAAGCGCGTGGGAGAACATCCAACCCATCCAACCCTACCTGATTATAGGTAGCCAATCTGCTATTTCTCGGATTATAAAGCACGTTTTCAGATATAGCCTATATCTGGCTCCTAGGATATAATTCAAGGAGCGCTTTGGTGCTGCCTAAAGGGGCCACACGTGTAGCCTTAAGATAAATAAAAATATAACTATAACGACGTTTTTAAAACGCGGGCAAAGCGCCAACAGAAACAAACGTGTTCGGTTAACACGTTTAAAACAGCTGCTTTTGTAAAACAAAACAAAACAAAAAAGCCGGCGATGAATCGCACACAATGAGGCTCTGCCCCTGAGAGAGAGAGAGAAGCAGGTGCATTACCCGGTTAACGGAATAAGGATAACAATAATAATAATAAAAAAACGATTATTAGCTACTGAAAAATCAAGAGAAGCGCAAAACTCACCTAATATAATCCAGAGTGAACCAGAGACCAGGACGAATGCGAGCATGTCTCTCTCATGGGTTCAGGTGTCCCGGGGCCGGAGCTGCAGCATCGACTGCAGCAAGTCGCCGACAATCTGGGAGATTAAGGAGAGACGGTGGGGAGAGGGGGAGGGTGGCTGAAAGAGAGGGAGGAGGGGGGTATAAGAGAGCAAAAACTGATGGGGTTCGTTTGGTCCAGGGTGTAGAGTGGGCTTTAACATAAGCTGCATGTGTGAATTAAAAAAAAAGAAGAAGAAGAAGAAGCAGGAAGCCTTCTGGGGGCATCATCGCGTATTTTCAACCTTGTTATTCCAATAAAATTTCTATATACCTATTAATGAAATGCATAATAACGCATGGTATTTATATTATTATATATATATTACTTTTTAAATTGATTGATTTTTTAAAGGGGATGCGCAGAACATCACGCCATCCCTGCAGCTGAGCACGCTGTGACACAGGGTAACTTTGCATCAGAGTCACGTGGTTCATCAAGACACGCCCACTGAACTAAAGTAACCTTGAGGAAGGCTGACACAGAGACGAGGAGGGTGGGCAGATGGAGGAGAGGAAATAAGAATTGCATCAAAAATATCTGCGACCACATACTACAGCCCTACACATATAAACACCTTACTAATGCAGACGTTTATTTGACAGTTTACCCCGCCTAAATGTAATCCATTGTCTTCTTTTATTGGATGATTCGGTCTTATTCTTCTGCTGACTCACCTTATTAAATCGGTCACTGGAAAGGACATTCTGTTTTTGATCCATAAGCAGAAAAAACTCAAAGCACATTGGAAAAAAGAGCCAATGCTCTCCTTCATACACAATGAGAGGAATCAGTCAAGTAACCAAACAAGCAGGGCAGCCAATCAGGTTACAGCTTGTTAAGCAATTCTTTCAATTTAAAGGGGTTTGTAAATGTTAATTGGGTTACCTGTAATTTGACTGAAGAACCCAGAGAGAATGACAGTGGATGAGCTGATGGCAAAAAATTTGACGGCTTAGTTTATTTATTTTGCACTGGGATCAAAGTCCACTAATCTCTGGGCAGTATGTTTTATTCCCTACCTCCCGCCCAAAAAAATAAATAAATCTGTATTTTAGACATATTTCACATACATTCTGAGAAATTATTTAGAATACATTGATGGAAACAATTGTTCATCCTTAATGAATGTAAAAAAAAAAAAAAAAAAAAAAAAGAGATTTAATTACAGCAAAAAACATTGTTTACAGTATTCATTAGCCAAAACAAATCAACAAAGATGTGCATTAAACAAATCCAGTGAGACACTCATTGTACAGTAAAACTATTAGTCTCTGCTAAGTGACATCTGGAGTATTTGTAGAAAATGTTTTTATGTCTATTTCACCACTGTGGAGGGATCTAATCTCCTTTGCAGAATTATTGTAACTAATTCAGCATATGACTTGTCTGTTTAAGGTAGTGCCAAAACACCTTGACTAGTCTTAACTATTCACTTTAAATCAGTCTTTTGTTTTTTTCTTTAATAACCTATTTAGAGGGGGATTTGCTTCATTGTTCTCCTTTCTGTTCCAAAGCAGGTTCCATATTTCCATCATCTCTGCCGGTTATCCAGGGTCTGAGGAAGCAGAGCAGCCCTAGTGGTGTATATGACCCCTATGAAAGACTGGAAATGTTCCAGGAGTCTTTATTGTTCCTGTAGAACATTTTTTTTTTTTTTTACAGCTAGAAGTATTAAGAAACTATTAAACTACAATCACTCTGTCAACAATGAACGTGAAAAAGATTAATCAAATGCTCAGGAGAGCAATAGACACAGAAATAAAGAAAATAATCAAGAAATTTAGGCTGTTAATCTTGCATTTTGTCAGGTGAGGCTCTGATCCCAAAGGATGGAACATGCCTTGCTCATTGAAAAATTTAAGTGTTCATTCAGGGTAATACCTGCAATTTTACTACACATCCTGACAATGCCATGCAGTCTATTTTTGAGATGTAACAAATTGGAGATATAACATATAATAAAGTAAAGGGTGAGGATGGATTAAATGAAAAAAAGAGTAAAACATCCACATAGAAGTGCTGTAAACTTTACAGTTACACAGCTTCCAGCTTCATTGTGTCCCCTCTAGTGGGAAGAATAAATTCAAAAGAGGCATGAGGCACTGGGAGAAACACGCACAGGGTCAGATTGACCCCTCGATAAAAGCTGAAGGGGTAATGAGGAGCTATGGTGGAAAACATGGTTGGGTAGATACAGCCACTCTTAATATATGGGTATTTCCTTTACCTTCTCTGAACTCTATAAACTCTATAAATATGCCTTCCCTGGTTTGAGTCTCGGCCCATAAACCTTTGGACATCATGTCCTCCACTTCTCTCTTGACTACAGTTTTTGCCACTAAACCTTACTATTACAATCTTACTGTATGTACCCATTTTTATTTTTTTTGCAAGATGTTGTTTAGCTGTCCTACTGATTTCTACTTCTCTTAGAAAAGTCAGGAAGTGTTTCTGTTGTCTCATCACAGTTTCTGCAAAAATAAGGTATTCAGTCCAATCCAATCCAGTTGTATTTGCAATTTTAAAAAAAAGCACAGCTGACCAAAGTGCTGTACAGAAAATAAAACAAAACAATAAAAAAAACAGAACAGTGCAGATAAAAACAAAACAGCTTAAACATAGGCAAAAATAGCATCCAACAAGAAAATAATAATAAAACCTTTGTATTTCCCCACACAAAGTAAAAAAACTTTAAAAGTTTTGTGTTTTATTGTGTGATAAAAAACAGAAAATATTGAAAATGTACCTACAGTAGAGTAGATTTGAAAGAGCTTTAGGTGAAAACCTGCAAATAGTTAAAGGATGAATGTATTTAGTTAAAGGGCATGATTAGTGCTGAGGTTGTGAGCACATAATTCCTTTCATAATAACTACTAAAGCCCTAATATTAAAATATATTTAATATACGCTGCTAAAAAAATAAAGGAAACACTGAAATAATCCATCCTAGAGCTGTATAAATTAAATATTATCATTTAATACTTTGTTCTGTACAAGGTTGAATGTGCTAACAACGAAATAACACAAAAATCATCAGTGGAAATCTAATTTATTAATGAATGGAGGCGTGGATTTGACACACAATAATCAAAGTAGAAAAACACAGTCAAGACTGATCCAATTTTGATACTATGTCCTTAAAACTGGTAAAAATGAGGCTAAGTATTGTGTGTGGCCTCCACCTTCCTGTATGACCTTGGTACATCACCTGGGCATGCTCCTAATGAGGTGGCAGATGAACTCCTGAAGGATCACCTCCTAGACCTGGACTAAAGCAACTGCTGAACAGTCTGTGTAGCAACGTGACGTTGGTGGATGGATCAAGCCATGATGTCCCAGATGTGCAAAGATGGATTTAGGTCTTGAGAATGTGCGGGCTAGTCCGTTGCTTCAATGCTTTCCTGTTGCAATAACTGCTGATACACTCTAGCCATATGAGGTCTAGCATTGTCCTGCATTAGTAGGAACCCAGGCCCAACAGCACAAGCATATGGTCTCACAAGGGGTTTGAGGATCTCATCTCGGTACCTGATAGCAGGTAGTGTGGACCTCCAAAGAAAGGTCTACCCACACCTTTACTGACCCACAGCCAAACCGGTCATGCTGAAGGATGTTGCAGGCAGGTCATTCTCCATGGTTCCTGCAGACTCTGTCATGTCTGTGATATGGGCTCAGTGTCAACCTGCTTTCATCTGTGAAGAGCACAGAGCACCAGGGGAAAATTTGTGAATCCTGGTGTTTTCTGGCAAATTCCAAGCATCCTGCATGGTGTTGGGCTGTGAGCATAACCCCCATCTGTGGACATCGGGCCCTTATAGCTTCCTCATGGAGACAGTTTTTTAACTGTTTGTGCAGATACATGCACACTTGTGGCCTGCTGGAGGTCATTTTTAGGGCTCTGGCAGTGCTCCTCCTGTTCTTCCTTGCACAAAGGCAGAGGCAGCGGCCCTGCTGCTGGGTTTTTTCTTTCCTCCTATGAACATTCCTACATTCCATCATATGATCCTAAATGGAGTTGTGTCTCTTCTTAGCCTGATAGATCCTGGAGATGCATTTGATTTAGTTGATCACAACATTCCTAGAAAAGCTAAAGGAACCATGGAACAGCACCAGGATCGCTAACATCTTATTTGTCCAACAGATTTCTGTTTTCTCATTTAATAAAATATTGAAAACTACAGGGAGACTTGTGGGGTAACACAGGGTTCAATGCTCAGGCCAATTCTATTCATTCAATCTATGCTTCCAACAGGTCAGATTATCAGACCACATCTGATTAACTTTCATGGTTATGCTTCACTTAGCTATATTTGTCCATACATCCTGATGCATACTTCTAATAGTCTTATTAAACATAAAAACGTGGATAACTTAAAACTTTCTGCTATGAACTTCCGACAAGACACAAGTTATCATCTTTGGAACAAAGTCTTAGAAACACTGTTTAGTCAGTCACTCCATCTAAATGGTATTAGATTTAACCTCAGATAATAAAGTAAAGAGAGTGGGACGTGTCATTCAAATCTAATAATAAACAGCTTTCAATGTTTTTTCTTTCATTTCTAGAGTTTTTCTAACATTAGAAATATCCTCCTCAGGAGTGATGCTGAAAAACGAATTAGTCATTAATTCCTATTAGAAAGTCCACATAATGCAGTCAAAAGCCATTAGCTTATAATTGAGAATTATGACCTGAAAACTTACTAATAATTAACTGCTTGTCTGTGCTGATTCCCTGATCATAGCCAGCTATTAACCAGGTGTGCCATTATCCTCTCCATCATAGAAAGTAGTCCTGAATAAGTACTTCTAGGTTCTTTTTGTGTGTGCATGCTCTGTCTTCTTGTCAGTTTTGTCAATCGTTGCAGAAGACGGCTCACACTGAGCCCGGTTCTGCTGGAGCATTCCTCCCTCTAAAAGGGAGTTTTGCTCGCCGCTGTCGCTACATGCATGCTCAACATAAAGTTGCAAAGTAAACAACAAAAGGCAAGCGACTTTCTACCGTCAGTACA